GGATTAATCACTAGCAATCTCTAGTACTTATCTTTACTTATACTAACGGTCACTTACTAAACAGTCACTTCGAGCGTTACTTGCAATTACGTTGCTAATGGCATTTACTAACAGTCACTTACAGTGTTACTTACGTTGCATTGCTAAACAAAACATGACTTACATTACAATACAAAGCTCACAATTCACCAATTGAGTTTACTTGCCTACTAAAAATTACTTGAAGCACTCTACAAAACGACACCTTAGTTACTTACTACTAACACTACAAAGTAGATTTAGAGACAGTGCTGGTAGAAAAAAAAAGATAAGATTTTGGGCTTTTGATTTAGTGTGTCTGTTTCAATTGGCTAGCTAAATCAGAAAAAAAGCTTCGCAAGAAAATCTGTGACTTAGGGAAGAGCACATTTCTTTATTTGCCATTCTAAAACAATTATTCTAAAACAATACATTTACGCCTGTAAATGTTTGGACAAGAAACCAAACATGCAGGAATTCCAAAGAAAAGCTACATTACAATAGCAAATATCTCTGTATTAAATGCGGTCATTCACATTCCGAATATCCCTCGTGGTGTAAGTCCTTTTAAACTTGCACTAGTATATATGCGATTATTTATTCTTACTATTCATATCTTTATTTATTTCACTGATACACTTATCAACTTGTGATACCTGTTTTGTTGTTGTTGTTGTTGTTGTTATTATTATTATTTGTAGCGCATATAGTATTGTGCATAAGTAATTCAAGCGATAATCGTCGATTATTTACGTATATTTATTTTTCTAGTTGATGTATGTCACCATTACCAAAGTCTGACAGATGCAAAAAGGAAATATGACAACGATGGAATAGTTGATGACGAATGTGACAAAAACCTCCATAGCCAAGGCTGGTACCGTTTCCAAGGAGATGCAGGCACAAAAATGGGAACTACATCTCCAGAGAATAGAAAATGTGGTGCGCCCTACTCTGCCTGGTTGAGTGGTGGTCATCCTACAGTGGCTGAGGGTATAGTCCAAAGAAACGTCTGCATTAATAAGTTTGGAGACTGCGACGAAGAAAGCTCCGTGGAAGTAAAGAATTGCACCTCCTACTATATCTACAGGTTCTTTGATATCAATGCGTGTCCCTTCCGTTACTGTGGCACTGACTAATGCAGTTACAAATGGCCTTACTGTTAAGCCAGATATCGATGGCTATTTTTAGACGCGTTTGCCGGACGTTTGTTCTCCTTGGTCTTCTTTTCTTAGTTAGTTGCTTGTTTGTTTGCTTGTTTGTTTAATTGTTTGTTTATAAACAGTCTGCTGAGAAGAGAGTCAAAATGGTCTGCGGTAATTTTGAGTAGTCTACCGTTTAACTATCCGCACTATAACGTAATGGCTGAAAGACTAGACAAAAGTGAAGGAACATCGCATTACTTCGCTTATTTGTGTGTTTGTTTGTTTCCTTGTTTTCATGTCTCTTTCTTAACCTTGATGTTTGTTATATTTTGCTAACATTTGCTTGTTTTTTTTTTACAACCTTGTCTTCCATTTTTTGTTTTGTTGTTATATTGTCTGTGTGTATATGTCGTTTTTATCTCATGCAACCATGGTTACAATGAGATTTTCCAGAGGGGATTTGTTTTCCCACAAGTGCAGTCTCTCTTATATTTGCTCGCTAAATTGCGATAAGGCGGTAAATTCTAATGCTTGGTATTTGTGCTATAGTATCGGGAATTTAAAAAGAAAAACAAGAAATAGAAAAGGTTTTAAACTAATATAAAAGTTGTTAGTGTACTTATATAGAGAAGTACCTAAGTAGGAGGGGGTGAGAGAGGGTTAAAGGGTATCGTTCACTTTAGCCTAGTCTAAATTAGTGAAAAGGATTGATTTGTTCACTTTAATGAAGTGCTTGAAGTGCTTCAGTTCACCAATAAAAGTGAACAGTGTTTACATAGTTATAGCGTGATGAGGAAATGCTATTTGAGCATTTGTTTGTTTGTTTGTTTTTTTGTTTAAGATTATTTGTTTTCTTGTAGCTCAAACTAAGCACGTGAACGTCATTATGACATAACAAAACATTTGACAATATTTCCACCCTTACAAATGTTAGTTTTCTTTGATAAAAGTAAATCAAAATTAGTATTGTAAAGTTACATAGACAGCTACTAGAGTAAACCGCTCTAGAAATAAATTTTATGATTTATTATTATTATTATTATTATTATTATTATTATTATTTCCCTCTCCTTGATAACAACCAGTCATGACCTTCCCTATTTTAAAAGATCTTATGGAAAATAATCCTGGCGCTTAAAAATGTATGAAAGTGGTAATAAAATGCTA